CTCCCTTCTATAGCAAGCTGGAATGTTAGGGGGTTTAATTGTCCAGAAAAGGTCCTTGCTTGTAAAAAACTTGTTTCTTTACACTGTTTGGAGATGCTTTGCATTCTTGAAGCAAAGATCACACCTAGCATGAGCACTGATGATTGGTTTATAAATTCTCACCAAATCTTTCCTAATGAACACTGTTGCAACAACTTCTTTCATGCTTCTCCTGGCAGAATCTGGCTCAAATGGAATGCTTCATCAATTTCTTTTTCTCCTAGTCACATCTCCTCTCAACTGATCCATGGTACCCTTCGTTATGACTCTGTGAATTGCATCAAGATTTTGGTGGTTTATGCGGCTAATACTGCTTCTGAAAGAACTCCTCTTTGGAACCAGTTATTAGCCTTAGCTGACGGTATCTCTGAACCATGATTGATTCTCGGTGATTTCAACTGCTATCGTACTGAATTTGAGAAGACTGGAGGGCGTGCACCTCATATTAGCAGGCTTAATAAACTAAATTCTTTTATTTTTAGCTCGGACACTTTGGATCTGGCTTCAACTGGTCTTGTATACACTTGATTTAATCAAGGAATTGACAATCCCATTCATATCAAGCTAGATCATGTTCTTGTCAATACTCTTTGGTTAAACAAATATCCTTGCTCTTTCTATAAAGTGGACTCTCCCTATTGCTTTGATCATTCTCCCATTGTCCTTTTTTCTGGTAGTGTTGGACATTTTCACTTCAGGTTCCAATTTAAGAATTACTGGTTAAATATAGCTGGTTGTTGGGATGGTGTTATTACAGTTTTTGCCTCTCAGCCTAAGGGGAATCCTATTGCTGCATTTTATTCTAAGTTAAACTCTCTTAAAGAGCACTTCAAGAGCAAGAATTGGGCACATTCCAATTTTTTGGATGGACGTATTAATGAGATTCAATCTTTACAACATGATCTTTTGTCTCAACTTCACTTGGATCCCCTTAACCCGATTATTAATGCTTCCTATAGGGAGGCCAATTCTTATCTTCTAGTCTTCATGAAGCTAAATGTTCATGGATTAGCCAAAGAGCTAAAGCGAGATGGCTATCTAATGGGGAGGACGATCTGGGATTCCTATATGCTAGAATCAAAATGAGGAAGAACTCCTCTCATATTAAAGAGATTACTACTGATGAAAGCTATTTTACCAATCATGTTGACATTGCTTAAGCTACCATTAATCACTTTAAAAGCCTCTATAATTCCCCTAAGCCTCCTAATTGCTCTTGGTTGAACCCTCCTATTGGAGCTGTTATTCCGGCTCACCTTACCTGCTCCTTAAATTGCCCTTATTTCTGATTTTGAAATTAAGGAGGCTGTGTTTGATGGTTCCTCTTCCTCGGCTCCTGGCCCAGATGGATACAACTTTGAATTTTACAAAAAATCTTGGCCTCTTATTGATACCCAGATCTGTAAAGCTATTAAGTACTTTTTTCATACGGGCATCCTTCCTAAGAGAGCTAAAGCCACTGCAATTACTTTGATTCCTAAAAGCCCTCATGCTTCTAATATATCTGATTTTAGACCTATTTATCTTTGTAATGTTTTTTACACAATTATTGCAAAGATTTTGGCTAATAGGATGAAAGATATCATGCCCCTCATTATTCACAAAAGCCAAGCTGGTTTGGTTCATGGCAGGGTGTCTACTGATAACATTATGTTAGCTACTAAAATTCTTAGCTGCTTTAATTCTACTTCTCGGGATGAGCTTTTCTATGCAAAACTTGATATTAAGAAAGCATTTGATACTGTCTCTCGAGATTTCCTCCTTACCCGTATGCTCTTGAATGGTTTTCCTGAACCTTTTGTCAAATCTGTTAAAGTTTGTATTGAAGACGTACATTTTCCGTTTGTTTTAATGGCACTCTTGAAGGGTTTTTTAGCTCTACTTCCGGTATCATTCAGGGGTGTCCACTTTCACCCCTCCTTTTCTCAATTGTTATGGATGCCTTTTCTTGTGTTATCGATGACAGCAGCTTTTTGGGTATTAATAATGGGAATTATAACTACAAGCATTTGCTATACGCTGATGACCTTCTGGTATTTGGTAATGCTACTATGAATAATGCTGCTCTCCTGTTAAAGTCGCTGAATTCCTTTGCTGAAGCCACTGGTCTTTATATTAACAATACTAAATGCTCTATTATTTTCTCCTTCAACTCGTCTCTAACTGAGGATATCAACCTTTTGATGGGCGTTTTAAGAGCTAATGTCTGTCTTACCTATCTGGGCTTACCCATCTCCACCAAGAAGCTTAATTCTACTTACTTCCTGCCACTATTGAGTAAACTTTTTACTCTACTTGCTGGCTGGAAAAACAGGTTTTTGTCTTTTGCAGGGAGGCTTCAATTCTTAAGATTTTCAATTGCAAACACTCTTGCTTACTGGATTAGAGGTTCTATCATACCAAAATCTGTTTGCAAACTGATTGACAAAATGTGTTCAAGGTTTTTGTTTCACGGGTCCACTAATTTGAAGAAGTTACACCTTATTGCCTGGAATAAAACTTGTCTTCCAAAATGCTTTGGGGGTTTGGGTATTCCTAGCATAGACTCTCTTTACTTTCCTTATGCTTGCTCTTTTATCTGGAGACTATACAATCAGGATTCTATGCTTGCTATGTGGCGGAGAAAAAATTACCATTCCCCTTGGAAACAGGCGCATTCTAAAGCCACTAAATTCTGGAAGATAATCTGTAACACTGCTGTGAAAATTCAAGATAGTGTTACCTTTAATGTTGGTAGTGAAAATTGTCTTCTATCTATGCTTTGGGACCCTTGGTGTCTGGGAAAACCTTTGGAGGAGGCTCTCTCTCATATTTCCCCTTCTCACACTGCTGTTAAAGATTTTATTAAAGGTGGAGTTTGGGATGTTCCTGAGTCTTGGGGTTTTGCTGCTGTTAATCATATCAGGAAGGTGCCAATTATTAATTCCTCTTGCCACACCATCTCTTGGGCTGGTAATGATAAGGCTTGTTTTAAAACTTTTTATTTACATTACTACCGGGATTTACAGCCTGTTTCTTGGCATCCTTATATTTGGCATAAGCGTTATGCTCTCCATTATTCATCTTTTGCTTGGTTGGCTGTTTTGGGAGGGCTTAAAACTGCAGAAGCTCTAGCTATTAGGAATATTATGGTTTGTAGGGAATGTTCCCTATGCTCTGTTGGGGAAGATAACACTAGCCATATCTTTTTCCAATGTGATTACACGTTCAAGATAGTCAGTCACCTTCTACCTGCTTTGAATAAGTTTTTGCTTATGCCCACTATGATACAATGCTTTGATTTTTTTAATGATCATCCTGGTATAAGCACTACACATAAGAATTTCTGTTTTCTTGTGCTTTGCTGCTCTATCTACTTTATTTGGAGGGAAAGGAATGATAGGCGGTTTGGTTCGACTCAGTCTACTGTAAATGCCATCATACGAAAGATTGTGAAAGCTTTAAGAGCAAAATCGTTAAAATGGGGAAGTGTTGAAAGGTTGAAGCAAGATTTCCAAGGTGTTTTGGTTTCGGGAGCAGGTCTTGGGAGTAATAAGAATTCATTTTTGTCTTTGGATTCTTACTTTCTCTCACCGGACGATGATGATTGAAATCAGCTTTTCTTCTCTCCCTTTGGACGACCAGCTTAATCTGACTTGCCTTATTATGCTGTATGGGGTTTCTTTTTGGAAACCTAGGGAGATTTATGTATTTTTTTACCCCTATGGATGGCCGATAGT